GATGTTTACAAAAGCTCATAAAAAATAAGTGATTTTATGACCTGTATTTTTCTCCTTTACTGTACTAAAAATGAACCCAACTGTGACTTCTGTGTACGTTACATTCCTAATAAACAGTTACTTCCTACAAATTTCTAGCACGTTTTGAAACACTGGCTTTTACTGTGCAAACTGATAAACCCCTGAAAAACTGGGCCTTTTCTTTTATTTAAAAAAAGTGGTTTCCATTTGATGCCCATTTTTATCAGAATTAGATGATGTGAACTACATGCATGCAACTTTATCCCTGCTGAAAAAACTGGATTCTGTATATCATGCTGCATTATGCTACGTAACAAATGCAGGCTCACACACTCATCACTGCATTTTAAATGAGTCTTTTGGATGGTCTTCTCTATACCAAAGGAGAAAATGCATATGTTGCTCTTTACTGTTAAAACGCGATTAGGTAAACAACCCACTTAGATCTCCAGTCTTTTATCCTAACACACCAGCAGCTATGGTACGAGATCTGCTGCTTGAATTCTATTAAATGTTCTCAGAATGTCCTCTGAGCTAGCGTCCTCTTTTCATGCATGCTGGGCAAAGCACCATTACTTTAGAAACACTTCCTTCCCTAAACGTCTTTTACAAACTGCCCTGAAGGCAACATGTTGCTGTTTACATACCTATTCACTTTTATCTTTACACAGAGTTGAGGTCTCGCATGCCTCTCTGCGTCTCTTTATTGTAAACCATCCACCTTCTCCTAATTCAGAGTTTTTAAGTGAATTCTCAGACTTTCTGTCTGATTTAGTGCTTAGTACAGATAAAATAATCATAGTAGGCGACTTTAATATTCATGTAGATGCCGACAATGACAGCCTCAACAATGCATTCTGTTCATTATTAGACTCAGTTGGCTTCTCTCAAACTGTAAATAAACCCACTCACTGTTTTAATCACACTCTTGATCTTGTTCTGACATATGGCATTGAAACTGAACACTTAATAGTTTTTCCCCATAACCCTCTTCTGTCTGACCATTTTCTAATAACTTTTGAATTTCCATTAATGGATTATATTCTATGTGGGAAACAATTCCACTACAGCAGATGTCTATCTGACAATGCTGTTACCAAGTTTAAGGAAATAATTCCATCTTTATCTACTTCAGTGCCGTTTGCCAACACAGTGGAAGGAGGCCGCCTTAACTTTACTCCCACACAAGTCGATAATCTTGTTGATAGTACAGCAGCCTTCCTGTGTAATACACTTGATACCGTTGCCCCTCTGAAAAAGAAGGTAGTGAAACAGAGGCGGCTAGCCCCGTGGTACAGCTCGCAGCTCCGCTCCCTAAAGCAGGCATCACGAAAAATAGAAAGGAGGTGGCGCGATCTAGCATAAGCTTGGTTTTGTGTCGTCCCATGATGGAGAGCTCTTCTCCTCCCACCTCCATTTTAGTTTTATATGTCACCACACATCACACGTCAAACTGTACGTCTCCTCTCCATGACTTTGTTGTGATTTGGCACTATACAAATAAAACTTGAAGTGAATTTACCATTTCTCTTTGTATTATATTTGTTTTAACTTGAGATGTTTTTTTATGTGAAAAGTTTTGTGCTTCCATGTTGACCAGAATTTCCTGGAAAAAGAGATCTTGTATCTCAATGGGACCTTTCTGTCTAAATAAAGGATAAACAAAATAAAATAGTTTCTGTCTTAAACTGTTTGCTTGACACATCCATTGACTCAATAATTTCAAGAAAATAATCAACAGATTAATCAATAATGACAGTGATCATTTCTTTTAGCTCTACCTTGCTGTGGGCATAGACCACTGATCCCAGCAGTTTCCAGGTTCCTCCTCGTCGGTCCATCCGGATCATCCTCAGGATCTGAAGGAACCGAAGAGACCGGATCGCTGATGTTGCAAAGACGTTCCCCTGAGTCCCCGCAGCCAAGACCGAGATGGAAGCTATCAACACCATGATGTCTGCAGATAGGTCAGAGAGAGATGGGGTGTGTAAGTGTAGCTGTGTAGGTTCTGTGCCCAAGATGCTGACATAACGCTCACTGATACACACACAGATACATGTCTCTTTATGCCTTTGTGTGGCCCACGTTCTGTGACTTCTTTGTGAGGGCCACCACTTCTACTATAGCTACAATGGTGCAAAACACAAATCTATCATGAAGTGGCAATAGAGAATCAAAATGTCACTTCAGAATTCAGAAAACTCAAAATAAAAAAAAATCTTTTTCTTCTACATGTGTGAGGACCGGAGCCTGCTGCCAAGCAGATTTGGTGAACTGGACCTTCTGTCACAAAGCACCAAAACGATGCATGTTAAATCACCAGATTTTAGCTGATCTTTCATAACTGTCCCATCTTACTTTCCTGGTTAACCCAAACCACAGCATTACAGAGATGGAAGCATGTGGTTTTTAATTTTGCCAGTGTAAAGTGTACTTAACCCTTGTGTGGCATTCACTTTTTGGACCAGAGGTGTGTGCTCCTCCCTGGGTAAAGTGTAGCAGAGGCTTGGGGAGGGGGGGGTTGTCAGTGTGAGGGCCCAGAGATGATAAAAGCCTGGCCGGAGATGTGTGGTTCTCCATGGGTGAAGCAGAGTGCAGCATGGCCTGTTTGGGACTTAGAAAAATTAATGACTTGAGGTCCTGGTACACAATATTGGGAGTTAGAAAAATTTCTGTTCCCACACAGTGTAATACCAGAGGCATGAAACTCCATTTGGAGTACCAGGGGCACGAAGTTGTGGCCGGGTGGTTTTAAATTGTTTAGCCCAGGGAGGGGGCTTAAGCATGGGTACACAGGTTCAACCGGTGCACTGGGTGCCTGGAGCTCTGGTTCACCAGGGGAGCTAGCCAGTTCCCTTCCCCCCACTATGGAGCTCCATTCCCGGGGTACTCCCTGGTGATAACGGGGTACACAGGCTCAACCGGTGCCCTGGGTGCCTGGAGCTCCGGGTCATCAGGGGAGCTCCATTCCCAGGGTACTCCTTGGTGATAATGAAGCATAGAGTCCCAGGGGCTTTGGTTCAGACTATTTATATGTAAATATAATGTATAGTCCACGTAGGTTCAGGTCAACAGCTTTTTTTTCTTTTGTCAGTTTTCTTTTAGTAAAAATCTAAAAAAGGTCCAATTTGACCTGGACACAACACAAGGGTTAAACTTGATTGTATTTACATCTATTAAAAATGTATTATAAAAATGGTATATGGTATG